TCTCATAATATTACAACTTTATTCTCATAATATTACGACTTTATTCTCATAATATTACGACTTTATTCTCATAATATTACGACTTTATTCTCATATTATGACTTTATTCTCATAATATTACGACTTTATTCTCATAATATTATGACTTTATTATCATAATATCATGACTACTCTCATAATATTACGACTTTACTCTCATAATATTACGACTTTACTCTCATAATATTACGACTTTACTCTCATAATATTATGACTTTATTTTTATATGACTTTAATGTCATAATATTGACTTTATTTTCTTAATAATTTTTTTTAAATCTCGTGTGGCCCTAATACTCCGTCGTACATTTAACCAAGGGCAAGGTTCAGTTTGTTAATATGGAGGGGGTGGGACTTAAATCTGATCTGTTCCAACTTCAGCTTCTGGTTGAAAGTCTATAAATTTACAGTCTATGATTTACATCAAAGTAATCGGTGTAACAGGACATTACAGGAGTCCATTGTATGTAAGATACCTGTTTGGATTATGTTTTTGTGCTTGACTTTTACTTGCTGCCACGACCTTTTGTAGCCACTGTCTGACACCCTGTGAATGAAAAAGATAAGGACTATGTTAAATGTTTAATACCACATATTATTATTAATAATAATAACATACATCTCAGGAAGTGCTCAGAGACAAAAATTATTTAAAAATTTTTTGAATGTGCAACAGTGTCATAATAATAAACAACTATATGAGATGACAAGTAGATTAGTTTGTTTTCTTACGCATTTATTTTATCAGCAATCCTCTGCCAGGCCTCCTCTCTGAGTTTAGAAGCACTGGTGGTGTTTGATTTAGCTGTCAGGATCTCTCTCTCCTCTTCATACAACTTCAAAATGAGGTCCTGCTCTTTAGAGCTGAAGAAGTGTGCTCTTTCCTGTTTTCTAATTAACTGGTAATCTGAGAAAAAACAACAACACCCCCCAACAAATGTGTTTACAATAAACACATTTGTTGATATTGCATTTAATGACGTAACGACCGAGGTCTCCTCCTCACCTCTGTCTGTGCTCATCATCATCATCATGGTGGTCCAAGCTTCTGGGTTCGACTGCTCTCCCCTCGTATGGCGGAGCGAGCGCGCGCAGTTATCCGAGATGTTTCAATGCTAGATTTACTAATCAAATCGCAACCCAGCGCCGCGGAACGGAGCGGAACCGAGCCCGCTCGACGCGACGGTCGGACGCGGCACCCGTTGCGTCGCCAGCAGCCGCCCGGGCGAGGAGAACGGGGAACGGATCACCGCTGTCACGAGGCAGGATATCGGGAGGCTTTGTTAACCCTGAATTTTCTAATTCGGCTTAAGGCGCGTTCACGCGACGGAGGCGGAGTCTGTAACAAAGACCGAGGCGCACGTAACCAAAGCGTCACTTCATCCCCAGCATTAAGCTTCTTTTCAAGGTTTATTCAAACCTTATAAATTCACAAACGTGAACAAAACGAACAACGCCAGTGCTGTCCTTTACAACCCCTGCAGAGAGATTAAACCTGCAGTTTCATCATCTGTAACACAGATTATATTCCTGCTGGGAACCTGCAGCTTCTCCATGACCAGGATGATGTTTCTGTAAGCTGAAGCCTGCAGTCACACCAGGCTTCCTCTGATCCAAGTGCTGGGACTGCATTCATAAAATATAAAATTACAAACTAAGTTTTCGTTTCATGAATTGAAAAGTTYGCTTTAAAAACTCTATATTAATGTATCACTAATTTATGAACGTCTCCCTAGTTTTACATACACCACTTTATATAGATAGGGTTGGTTAATTCATTTACAGGGTTCCTACAATTTAAGACAAGTTAAATTTAAGACTTTTTAATGCTTAGTGAAATTAAAAACCAATTTCAAACACATTTGACAAAATAACAACAGCAGAAACTCGTGAATCAAAGTATTTTTGGTTGAATTATTTAAATACTGATGATAGACCAATTGTTTTAATCCATATTTAACTGCTTTTTTTGTCAAATATAGCAAAAACATCATTTCAATCAGTTTTAAACCTAATTTAAATCTTGGAAATCCTCTCTAATGACCCAACATTTGTTGTTTTAGGACCACAGTGGGCTCTCAAACCCAGCTCGCTGTAGATAAAACCTTAAAGTGTCCGTGACATCAAACGTTTGTAAAAATATGAATGCATTTTTGGAAAGACATTATAAACATATACAAGATGAATGTCACGTTGCTCAGATGGACAGTTGTTGAGATATTTGCATGAGAAACAACAGGAAGTGATGTCAAAGAGGAATGTCCATCAGTCATCACTTATTAGTCATCCTGCTTTACAATGTGTTCACATTTTAAAGACTTCTGAAGTTTAAGACATTTTAAAGCTAATTAAGGCCTTGTTTTTGGATTGATGAATTCAAGACCTTTAAGACTTTTTAAGGATCCATGGGAACACTGATTTAAGATTTAAGGCCCTGCACACATTTCTGTCAATATTCTGGTTATTTAGTTTCTCTGTAGGACCTGCACAGCAAATAAATAAAAGGTAACATTCTGAGAAAAGTTTCACTAAACCAACTGAAATTACCTTTGTGTTTAAAGGAACAGTGAGCAAGAGACCTACATGGTAAATAAATAAATAAATAAATAATTTGTCCCCTTAATGCCCCTGAATGAACAACAGCAAAGAGCCAGCATCTCTCAGATTTAATAAAGCAACCTGTCAAATTATAAAACATAAATTTGGGTTTACTCTACAATGACATACTAAAAAAAACTTTAATTAAAAGACACACACAGAGAAGAAGAAAAAACAAAGAAGTTTTAGTTACTTTATTTCTGTTTAAGTGGACATTTTGTTTAAATGGTCCAGAACGTTGGAAGTGTTGGTTCAGGTGGCCCGTGTCAACAGCACACAGGTAAACACAATGAAACAGGCCAGTACCAAGTGCGGTCCAGTAAGAAACGCTGAGAGAGTTATTGAACTATTAAAGAGGTCTGGAAGGTTTAGTCATCGTGCCCCTCATATCCAGTAGGAAGGGGATTCATATGTGGGTTGTGGAAAAAGCTATGGTTGCCATCTCCCCAGGGGAAACGCTATATGAGAGAGAGAGAGAGAGAGAGAGAGAGAGAGAGAGAGAGAGAGACAGAGAGAGACAGAGAGAGAGAGAGAGACAGAGAGAGAGAGAGAGAGAGAGAGAGACACAGAGAGAGAGAGAGAGAGATATTTTTAAAATGCTGTTTTGTTTATTTAGTTGATGAATAAATGATTAAAGTATCAGACCTTGGTACGAATGCGGAGGTGGGAGTATGGAACAAACTCTGGGGGTTGGTCGTTGGCATGTTCCTTCGCTTTCAAGTATGTGTTCAACATGCACACTCCAACCATAGGCAGGGCCACAAACCAGGTCAGCTTCCTCCATGTTCCAACTGTGCAGGAAAAAAAGATGATGATGATGATTAGAATAGTTAACTACAGTGGAACCTAAACACATCAGATTACAGATGTAAGTTTATAAATGTGTGACATTTTAGAGTGAATACTACAACTCACACTACACTTAGAGGRAAGAAGAAATCTTCTCATCTCCCATTTCAACATATTTTTAAATGCACTTTTTCCACAGCAGTAATACTCAACCTTGCCAAGAAACTGGGATTTTTATTACGTTAATGGTTTTATCTTTCCAGCTGTCCAGCAGATAAATGGTCATAGCAGCAGTGATGTTCATATAAAGTGTGATTTCAGAAATCAAACTGTGTTATGTTTCTAAATGTGGGTTTAAAAAAACGTACTAAAATGACACATCCGTTATGAAAAATCTGAGATATAGAATTATATATATACACAATCATTTGGACTTTATTTTTTGTGTTWTTTTCTTATTTCAAATTACTATTAATATTATTAAAACCTGAATTTTTTCCCTACCAGTCCTGTTAATGTCTTCTACTACAGAACAYCAGTCCAGCTGCTTTGTTTTTGTTTGCAATTTGATTGATGTAATTATTTACTTCCTATTTTAAGGAAAGCCAGAGTATTTATTTTAAAACTTTAACTTCAACACAAGCTCCTGGATCTTACTGAAGGTACAAAAAACTTTTTTGGGACAATTTAAAAGCTGTTAGTTTATGTGTTCAAGTAGTTTTATTCTTAATGAACACATTTGKTTCATTAGCATGAAATGGTAATGGCAATCCATTATTTTTGCAGTGGCAATCAATGTTTTTAGCTAAAGACATGTTTATTACTAAATAATAAAAAAATCTATAGCTTGAGTTCATCGAGGAAAATTTTCTCAAATACGTAGAAAAGATGACAATTATTGATGGATGAAAACTTTTAACTTTGTTGAATAAAATAATGAATATATTATCCAACATTTCTGAAGCTTAAAAAAGCAGTAGCTTTTCTTTTATCTTTTATTAACATCTTGGTATCATTTCAAAGTTGCTTTAAAGCTAAAAATTTCAATTTTAATTTGCCTTCCTGTACTTAGAACACGTTTGTCCCTTTCTCTTTAAGTTTACTTGATTTCTGTCATTGTCTTCTTTCAAGAGTATATAAGAGTGTTGCTAACATCATTAACATTTTAGCACATTTAGCTAATCAGCCCTACAAGCTAACAACAGCCCCAAGACACAAGTCTAGTCTACCTGGGTGACCGACTCCAAGCTTTATGATAAAGCCGCGTGCTGTTTTAAATAAATTGTAGGGATGTTGACAAGTCATCAGCAGCTGCTGCCATTTTTTTCCCAAACTGCTGTGACCAGATTTTACAAACCTGCTCGGTGCGTTTGCTGTTATTTCCTCCTGCTTTGTTATTTCTACGAGTTTCAACAAATCGGGCTGCCGTCAGGTAGTTAGCTACAGCCTCGTCTTCCAGTTTTTAATTTTTGTTGATGTGTTTTGAGACATTTTTTTGAAAAGAGGACCAAAGTAAATCACCCGAGTTTTTCTAGTGACCCCTCAAATAGATAAGCTGCCATGAAGAACATTATTTTATCTGCTCTTGTTCTAAATATGATCATGATTTGAAAAGTCGAAGTATGTTTTTTTATCTTGAACAGCGCTTGTTGCAAAGTGTTTTGACTCGTCTTCGTCACCTGACACATTTAACTCGCTGTCATTGGTTGATGAGCTTTGTTTAAAAACAGATGTCCACATGGTTTTTAATTGTTTTAATTTCCTTACTTTCTAAGAGACATTAAGTTGATGCTACAGTT